AAAAAACACATTTGAGTACGCCCTGGCAGAACTAAAAGAGGAATACAGTTAGTCCTCAACTTATAACAGTTTGTTCAAAGTTACAATGGCACCGAAAAAAAGTGACTTAGCACCATTTTTCACGCTTGCGACCGTTGCAGCCTCCCCGTGGGTCACGTGATCAAATTTCAGCTGTTCGGCAACTGACTCGTATTTATGATGGTCGCAGTGTCCCAGTGATCCCCTTTTGCGACCGTCTTGATGAGCAAAGTGAATGGGGAAGCCTGATTCACTTAACAACCGGGTTGCTTACTTTACGACTGCAGTGATTCCAATAAATAATAATAATAATAATAATAATAATAATAATAATAATAATAATAATAATAATAATAATAATAATAATAATAATAATAATAATAATAATAATAATAAAGTTTGAAGGGACCTTGGAGATCATCTAGTCCAACCCCTGCTCAGGCAGAAAACCCTATACCATTTCAGACAAAGTTTCTCCTTAGTTCTAGGTTGCTTCTCTCCTTGATTAGTTTCCATCCGTTGCTTCTTGTCCTGCCTTCGGGCGCTTTGGAGAATAGCTTGACTCCCTCTTCTTTATGGCAGCCCCTGAGATATTGGAAGACTGCTATCAAGGGGAGATAACAGAATAACAGAGTTGGAAGGGACCTTGGAGGTCATCTAGTCCAACCCCCTGCTCAGGCAGAAAACCCTATACCATTTCAGACAAATGGCTGTCCAGTCTCTTCTTAAAAACTTCCAGTGTTGGAACATTCACCGCTTCTGGAGGCAGGTTGTTCCGCTGGTTAATTGTTCTCACTGTCCGGAAGTTTCTCCTTAGTTCCAGGTTGCTTCTCTCCTTGATTAGTTTCCATCCGTTGCTTCTTGTCCTGCCTTCAGGCGCTTTGGAGAATAGCCTGACTCCCTCTTCTTTGGGGCAGACCCTGAGATACTGGAACTCTGCTATCATGCCCCCCCCTCGTCCTTCTCTTCATTAAACTAGACATGCTCAATTCCAGCAACCGTTCCTTCTATGTTTTAGCCTCCAGTCCCCTGATCATCTTTGTTGCTCTTCTCTGCGCTCTTTCTAGAGTACTGTGGCAAGGAAGGTCGTAAAAGGGGGCAAAAGGCACTTAACAAATGTCTTGCTTAGCAATATAAATTTTGAGCTCAATTGTGGTCATTTAAATTGTA